ATACGGTCTGTTGTATTACGAGTCTGTCGATGTACGGTTTTAGAATTTTACGATTCTTTCAATTTACAGTTCTGATATTTTGAGATTCTGTGAATATGCTGTTCTGATTTTTTGCTATTCTGTCAATGTACGGTTCTGACATTTTACTATTCTGTCGATAAACGGTCTGTTGTATTTCGATTCTGACAAAGTACGGTCTGCTAATGTGCGGTCTGTCATTCTGCGATTCTGACGAATTACGGTCTGTGTTGTTATGATTCTGACGAAATATCATTCCGCTGTGATGTTGGTTTGTTAGTTTTCGATTCTGTATATTTGCGGATCTGCGATATTGCTATTATAGAAAAATACACATCTGCGCATTTGCAATCTGTTATTGTCTGGTATGCTCATGTACAGTATACAAAATACGGTTTGAGGGATTGCGGTTCTGTGCATCTACAGTAGAGATAAATACGATTCCTATAAAATATTGTTCTGTTAAGTTACTGGTTTGAAAATGTATATTCTGATGGATTACGGATCTGCGATTTTACATTCTGGTGATTTGTGTGTTCCCCGTTCCTGCAACGTCATGAAACTGACGTATTCTTTTACCAATCTTAGTGACGTTCACTCGACGTCGAATAGATGACGTGATTATCACGTCATAGAAAGTACGTCATAGTGACGTCATAAATTGGTGTGACGTCTCTGACAAAAAATCACCAATTAGGGACGTCACAGTGACGTGATCATTCGTCATCTGGTTGCCTGGGATCATTTCGTGCTCGTTGAATAATATAAATACTGATATGTATATGTTAGTTTAAAATAAATGCATGGTGTTTCCGAAACATTTCCAAAGTATTGATGAAACATTGGTGATGTGATTCTTCAAAAAAATGTTCCTATGAATATTTGACAAAAAATGCTTTCTCCGCGAGAACTAACGCTTCATCAAATTGGGCAATCTGAATATTTTCGAAACCGTTTATCAAAAAAATCGTGAAATTTGGTACATGGCGCAAACTTTTGATGCTGAATCAGAGGACGTACCATGCTGAATAGGTTACTGGGCCATATGCACATATTTGCTTAGATATTCAAATTTTAATTTCTTGCACATCACACCTTGTTCACAGAGTATCCTTGTCTATCCTGCATGAATGGGAAGTAACGTCTCTATTCTCGTGAATAAAATAAGATATAACTTCACTGTGAATAGAGCTGTAATAACTACAAGTGACATCAGTTCAGACATTGACTACTAAGCGTAATATATCAATCAACGCTACTAGTGAGTTTTTACAGTGGATGATGTATTGGTTATGTTTTGAGGTAAGGATTTCAAGGATTTCAAACAGCAGAAATATATCGTATTTTACACCAAGGTAGCTGAGACTCACATGATGAGGGTAACTGGAATATATTATGTTCCGTATAAGAGGAATATATTACAGAAATATCTCGGCCAGGATCATTTCTATTTCTAAAACTCTAGCTTTACATGAAGATTTTCAACCCCCCTGTCAAACACTCACCCCAGAAATCAACCCTTTGAGCATTTTTACATGTGTACAGGCGGTAGAGTTCCAGAGATCCGACCCAAGAGATCGGCTCGATAAAACGACCGGATGGCTCTTTTACGGACTCTGGTAGGCAAACGTTAGAGGTTCTTCTACAGACTCACTTTCCCGGCAGCCTGCTCCTGGAGGACCGTCAGCAGATTCCACTTCCAATGGGATCGATAATACGACCAAAAAAGGAGGACTGGAAGAATGCCTCAATGGTGGTCACCCCAGAGTCAGTGGAATGGGCGGTGAATTGTTTCTCCCCATTCAAGTCTCCGGGAGAGGACGGAGTTTTTCCTGCCCTCTTACAAAAGGGCAGAGAAGTTTTACTACCTCTCCTGGTTAAATTATATAGAGCGAGTTTGGCGTGGAGCTACATTCCGTTAGGCTGGTCAACAGCGAGGGTTGTGTATATACACAAATCGGGTACGGCGAATCATTCCCTACCCAAATCCTTCCGACCGATCAGCCTTACCTCGTTCCTATTAAAAACTCTAGAAAGAATTCTAGACAGGCATATTAGAGAGGGGAATCTAAGGGAGCATCCCCTAAATCCCCATCAATATGCCTACCAAACAGGCAAATCAACGGATTTAGCACTGAACAATCTTGTAGGAAAGATCAGCCATTCCTTAGATCATAAGGAAATTGCGCTGGCAGCCTTCCTAGACATAGAAGGAGCGTTCAATAACGCCCTACCACAATCACTCTACATGGCAATGCAAGGTAGAGGAATCAGCAGGCAAATATGCAACTGAATCAAAACCATGATTGGAAATCGGTACGTCATATCATCACTGCATGGAGGGTCGATCAGGTTTAGAGCGGCAAAAGGTTGTCCATAGGGCGGGGTACTTTCCCCCCTTATGTGGTCATTTTTGGTTGACTCTCTGCTGAGCAATCTCTCCATGCAGGGGGTGGATTTCCAATGCTATGCAGATGATCTCGTCCTAATAGTAAGAGGGAAATTTGAAGCGACGATCTCTAACGGCCTACAAGAAGCCCTCAATACTGTGTACAGGTGGTGCGAGAGGGAGCAGATGTCTGTGAACCCCCGGAAAACTGTAATTATCCCTTTTACCAAAAGGCAAAAGCTAGATAAGCTTCGTCAGCCTGTCCTATATGGAGAGAGCATTCCGTTTGCGACGGAGGTGAAATATCTAGGGGTCACCCTAGATAAAAGACTCACCTGGAACGCCCATATGGCAAAAACTATTAACAAAGCCAGATTTTCCCTCTGGAACCTCAGAAGGGTATGCGGCAAATCATGGGGAATGAACCCCAAACAGATTTACTGGATTTACCAAACAATGGTAAAACCAATGGTCACGTATGGCTCGGTAGTCTGGTGGACCAAAGGTCTGCAGGGAACAGCCAGGGCAAAGCTTGCTGGTCTCCAGCGGCTGGCGTGCCTGGCCATTACAGGGGCGATGTCCTCTACTCCAACGGCAGCGATGGAAAACCTCCTGAACCTCACTCCCCTCCACATTGTCTTGGAGAGGGAAGCCAGGATGGTTTCCTACAGATTCCTGTCATTGGAAAATCAAATCAGAGGAGGGCGACTGCTGGACCACTCCGGGATACTGTGTGAAACAAAAAATCACCAAACTCTAGGAATGGTTTCCGACATGTTGGCCACTCAGACACACGTGAAAAAGTCTTTCAAAGTCCTCTTCCCGAAGAGAGACGAATGGGCAAGCGGATCAGTCCGATTCCCAGAGACCGAACACGTAATGTACACAGATGGTTCGAAAACCCCTCGTGGAGTGGGAGCCGGTGTGTTCAGCAGAAAACCGAAGACGGAAATTTCCGTCAATCTCGGCAAATATGCTACAATCTTTCAGGCGGAGGTATTCGCAATTGAATTGTGTGCTAGAGAGTTGTCGAATAAACCTCTAGTAAACAAAAATATCAGTATTGTATCAGACAGTCAGGCTGCTCTTAAAGCACTGAGCTCCAGCAAGATAAATTCCAAGCTTGTATGGAGCTGCATTGAATCCCTAGAAAGCCTGGGTGCTAACAACAGAGTCACTTTGCTGTGGGTGCCTGGACACCAGGGGGTGGAGGGTAACGAGAAAGCCGACATCCTCGCCAAACAGGGAACCGAATCTGTGTTCATAGGACCAGAACCATATTTTGGGGTCACCGCAAGTGCGGCGAAAACAACTATCTCGGGCTGGGCGGAGGGAAAAACACTCACGTACTGGTCCGAATTACCAGGATTAACCCATTCGAAGGCGTTCCTGCCTAAACCATCGGAAAAAATAACCAGGCAGATCCTAGAATGGAGCAGGGGTAACCTGCGAATTCTGACTGGACTGCTTACGGGACACTGTCGTCTAAGATACCACCTGGGAAGGATGGGTCTGAACCAACAAACGGACTGTCGGTTTTGTTGTGTGGAAGACGAAACGGCTGAACACATATTATGCTCATGCTCTAGCTTAGAAAGACTAAGGTTCGACACATTTGGCTTTACCAACCTAGAACCTATCGATTTCAGACAAATCTCACCCAATTCAACCATGAACTTTGTAAAAAGATGTGGATTGTACGGTGAACTGTAACCTCTAGGGGTGAGCCACAATAGACCCATCTGGGGTCGCAGTGGAGGGGAGGTGTTCGCCCCACTCACATGGAACCTAACCTAACCTAAGAGGAATCCCGAATCTTCACAGGATGTTAGTAAATAAGTGCGACACACTTCAGGACGTGATTTATATTGATATTTTAGGCAATGAAGTTCGTATAAACATGTATCCTAACTAACTTGATTCGTTTTTGAGATACAGAATGTTGAAGTTGGAAGTAATCCCTGTTCTGAATTGAAACCCTCCTGTATAAGCTTTCATGGTTCCCAAATTTAGTGTGGTTGGAGACTGACGAAGCCCGAAAATTTTGAAATGATTCTTATTGGGCTCATTGAGTAATCTAACATCAAAATTTGGAGTCAAACCGACCTTTAATTGTCTCTTCACAAACTAAGCACTAAAACACAGTAGATGTAAGAAAAATGTTATTTCAATAGTTAGGTATAATTAGAATGTGGATCTCAGAAATACCAGTGGCGTGAAATGATATTTATTCACTGTGACCCCACTGAAAATATTATCTCGAATCTAATATTAACCACAAATGAATATAACACACGTGGCGTGACAAGTGAAAAAATGAAGGTTGAAAAATTATCAAAATCCCAATGCCAACGATACCAATCATTCCTCGGTCCAAGATTTTACAACGCTGTTCCAAAAAAACTAACAGATATGAATCATAGAAAATTCAAAAATCATCTCCTAGATTATATCCAAGGCAACAGTGATGTTTTCTAAGCGCTTTCCAGCGTAGTTTCATAATCAAAATTGAATATATATTTTGATTTTCACCTACTTTAATTATAATAATGATTTCTTTTTTTTTTTTTTTTCTACTCAGATCTACTTTTTCCTAATCTTCATCACTTGTAAGCTCGTAGCACATGAATCTACAAAAATAAATAAATCAATCAATGCATAAGCTCATCACAAACTTCGGTCTAGGAGCTCATACATATTCTATCAATAAGATGTATAAGCTTATTTAGAATTGATTGAACTGAATATGAATTTGAATTGCACCAAAAGAAGCTTCATGTGACTATCAACAAACCCACGAAGTTTTATTGAAATTGATGAACATATATTTGAGTAATGAATAAAAACCGATTTTTCATGGGAATATCAATACCCTGTATCTCGAAAACGAAGCAAGTTAGGACACATGTTTATGTGAAATTCATTTATCAAAATATCACAGGGTGGGTACTGTTTCATTGTATCACTTGAACAATTAATTTAACAAATTTGAGATAGAGTTATTTAGACTGAATGTCCGTTTATGCCATTTTATAATTTAATGGGTATTCCCATGGTACTAAAATACCTCTGTTTATGTGTACAGGGTGGCTGGAATTCGAGCCTCATGATTGGGAAATTCCGTTTCGAAACTTGGAAAATTCCTCATACTTTCGAAAAAAACTGAAATTTCCAGTAACGATTTTTATTTTTCCATCAAGTTATTTGATGAAGTCTATCGAAATAATAGTTATTTATGCAACAAGTGCAAAAGTGAATGTTTATTGCACTCGACGTGAAATTATCCGACGAGTTGCATACAACATTCTTTCTACGTTCATGCAAAAAGCAAAAAATGATTTATTGAGGTGCGGCACTAGGTACAATTCTAATAATTGTCAGAATTAATTTTTGACTGACGTTTCTATAACCACAGTTGCAATGTAAAAAATGTTTGTCATGATGACAGCACGTTGAAGTAGAATGACAGATGAGTGCAATAAAAACTTTATTGCACTAAGTGCAATAAAGAACTTCTTTTTCCACTAAATATAGTTCAATAAAGGTCTGCTTTTTGCATGAATGTAGAAAAATGACATTTTATAACAGTCACTCGTTCTTTCCTACACGTTGGCGTTTTCAAATTCGAAATCTGATGTTTTGTGTTTCAGAAATAACCATCAAGTTATTCATTTTGAATAGGAATCTGGATTTTTTAATTGATTCTCTTAAACCTTGGATATCCCGAAAGCTATGAGCTTCATCATAATTCAACATATATTAGAATGTTATGTTTACGAATATTTTCAGTTTCATATTGAATTATAAAAAAATCGGTACAGAAAATGACAATTCCAATAGACGAAACATTCGGCAAATATACATTTTTGATAGCTCAAGGCTTCTGAAAAATTTCAAAGGTGAGGAAGAAGGCATGAAAAATCCAGGTCCGTATTAATAAAAACATGAGTTGGTGATGGTATCTGGTTCAAAAATGGTATCACAGCTTCATATCGTCCAACTTTGACGAATGCAAATACTTATGTAAATGAGTACCTAACTCACAGGATTATCGAATAGAAATATTCTCAGGTGATATCAATCTCCATTTAACAGGTATATATTTTCAGCAGAAGTGAATAACTACGTTAATACTTTGAATTCAAATGAATTTGAATATTATATGAAATCGTCTACAAGAAGAATTAAAATAAAGCAACCATAGTTGATCACTAATTCGTTAGACAAGCTAAACTTATTATTGAATACACAAATTCCACACCAATGATCATTCAGACTGACCTGAGTGATTACTATTCAACACATCAAACTTGCCGATCAAACCCAAAATCAAATACAAAATAATCATAGCAAAATTTTTCGGAAAGCAGATTTCAATAAGACCAAAAAACTTGTTTTTTCTGTGACGGGAAAAAAGTTTGGCATTTCATCTCTGTTGGCAGGTTATAAAATGTCACTTTTCATAAATTACTTTTTTCCCGTGGGAAAAAAGTGAGTACTTCTTTCCCGGATATATATCACATAATATATGCTCTGTTAATGGCTTTTGTTGTGCTATAGTTCCGAAAAATGAGTCAATAATACCGTCTCCGAGAAAGAACTGCAAGTCCTTTTATCTTCCATTCGACTTCGCGGTTTCGTATATTACTAAACAACTACTGAATTCGCAATTTTTCAAAATCAAATCACAGAATTGAACTGACAGAAGTGACATCAGATATTTGATTACTTCAAAAGAATGATGAAGATGTCTATAAAACGCAGGTGTCCCTACTGTTAAAAACTTGAAATTTCACGTCGATAATTTTCACATTTCGAAATAATGTAATATCTTCTCAATATTGATTCGTCCTTTCTTCTGTCACAGAAAAAAATAGTGTATTATACACGGGAAAAATATTAGATTTTAGCTCACGGTTTTTTGTCTCCCTCCGCTACGCGTCGGGAGACAACACAACCTGGAGCTAAAATCTACTACTTTTTTCCCTTGTATAATAAATAACTATTTTTCTGTGACGGGAAAAAAGTTTGGCATTTCATCCCTGTTGGCAGGTTATAAAATGTCACTTTTCATAAATTACTTTTTCCCGTGGGCAAAAAGTTAGTACTTTTTTCCCGGATATATATCACATATATATACACTGTTGATGGCTTTTGTTGTGCTATAGTTCCGAGAAATGAGTCAATAATACCGTCTCCGAGAAAGAACTGCAAGTCCTTTTATCTTCCATTCGACTTCGCGGTTACCTATAATACTAAATAACCACTGAATTCGCAATTTCTTGAAATCAAATCACAGAATTAGACTGACAGAAGTGACATCAGATATTTGATTACTTCAAATGAATAATAAAGATGCCTACAACGCGGTTAAAAACTTAAAACACGTCGATAATTTTCAGATTTCGAAATAATGTAATATCTCTCAATATTGATTCGTCCTTTCTTCTGTCACAAAAAAAATAGTGTATTATACACGGGAAAAATATTAGATTTCAGCTCACGGTTTGTTGTCTCCCTCCGCTACGCGGAGCTAAAATCTACTACTTTTTTCCCTTGTATAATAAATAACTATTATGAAGAAAAATGGAAAAATCTACTCGACTCTCACGATGTTCAGTTTGCTTATGACTTATTCATTACCAAAGTTGATAGCTATATACACGCACGATGTTCTTTGAACATTATAGGGATTCCCTCTCGTGCGCTCCAAGCGATAAAAAAAAAATGTACGGAAACGATTGAAATAAAAAATTGTAACAAAAAATCAAGCATTGAATCAGTTACTTATAATTTCAACGAGGTATCGAGATAAATTGAATAGAAATAGTATATTACATACCGAGGTGGAAAGAGATTCATTCCTGTTGTGAGAAGAACGCAAAGCGTCGACGTCTTGAAGCAATATTACATAAGTGAGGGCGGGAAGTAGAGGTGTGTTATGTGACACTGCCAAACCTTTAATGACGTTAGAAATGACAACATTACATATATGGTTGAAAATAAAATGAATATTCATCCATCAGCTGAATTGAAAGCACGATATAGACACTACAGAAATATGTAGACTGATCTACTGAAACGAACAAAAAATAATTACTATGAATTGCAGATTCAAGAGGCTGGAAATGATCGAAAAATGTCTGAGAAACAATAAATTGAGCTTCTAATTCTGAATCAGGAGAAAAAAGAATTTGATAATACAAAAATAAATACTTACACCGAGAGAAATATCTATTAGCTGTTATACGAAATTGTATAACCATTAAAAGATTTCTGAATTGAATAGGCGCCAGCATAGTTCCCATTTCACTGTTATCACGTTCATCATTTCAAAAAAATCATATAACTGTGAAATATCACTTATATGAGAATGAAATGACACTCATATAGGGGTCAAATAACTAGCATTTCAATGCTATACGATGATATTATAAAAATGAGAAGATACTCATATAAATTGGACTTGTTTTCAATTTGATAGTCAAATAAAAAGCATTTCAATATTGAATAGTGATATTATCAAAATGAAATAATACTCATATCGATATAATTTGCTTTCAATTTCATAGTCAAATGATTGCATGATGGTATTTCAGTATTAGGATAATTCATTTTTCTCCAGAAAAATGAAGTGGGTTGAAACTCTTCGAGAAATATTGAAGACATATATACTTGATTAATATACTTACCCCCAAGTAAAGTGTTTTTGAGGAACTACAGGGCATTGAAGTGCATCACAAGGACGATATACTCAGTTTACAATATCTCAGTTTGTGTAGGACAAAAATGCTTCCAATTTGGACTATTTGTTCTCATTGTCAGTGCATTGGATTATTATTCAACATAGTGGTCAAAACTGTATTTACAAAGTATCGTCAGTAAATTAGAGTTCAGATTCGCAGATTTCGTTTCATTTTATTTACCGTTATTGCCACTTGAGCTTTACAAAAGATCGTTGAGAGACTTTTTTTACGACGTTTTCGAGATCCCCATGATAGTATAATCATTAATCTTAGACATAATGTATACGCAATACAATCTATCACCGATAGAACTGTTCAAATACAAGCTTTTGACACTTAGTGAATAGTGAGGTGAGTTGAAAACATAAAAGTTTCTCCAATTTGGAAGACATTCCGATACATACACTTACCGATATATCGTGAAAACTTTTCACTGAAAACACTATAACGCCCAGAGGCAGTTCAGCATTCTGTAGTTCCTCAACAAATCTTGGGGGATATATGAACAAATATGTCGCTACTATATCTCTAGAAGATCTCTCAACCACTTCGAGAGTTCACAAGCTGGAGCGAGCTAATATGTCCTTTCATATCAGGAATCCGGAGACGACTAACGATTCTCATCGAACAAGTGTTCATAGGTGAGTGGGATGACTCATTGAGGTAAACGAGTATGACAAAGATGGAAAATGATAGAAGGAATTAAATTAAATGATAATTGTATAACTGTGAAATGACATCTTTTAGGATTTGAATGATTATCTTCAAATTTCCATCTTTTAACTATAATCTTGTCTTATTTCGAATCTAAAAGATAACCTTTTTGTTACAAAAGATTTGAAAGGGTGACCTGTTTTACGTTGAAAACGTGAGCTTTTCACGTT